CATAATCATTATGACTACTTAATAATTTTGCACAAAACCATTCAGCAACTGCCAACACAGCTCCTAATTAACTTTTTTTTTATTTTCTAGTAAATATCCTAAATTTCTCCTTTTAAAAAACTATATTTTGAGTTATATATATATATATATATATATATATATATATATATATATATTCAAATTAGTTGTGGGTGAAAGACTTATTTGCCCCTAATGATGTAATCTTTTAAAACTTCAAAAATTTGTCTTTAATTAATGCGGATATAGAAAAAGACCCATTTGCCCCTAATGATATGACCTTTTCATTTGTCACACCTTCCTATAATTAGAAAGTGTGCATACCCTAAAAGGCAAAGTTAGAATCGCCCTTTATCCAACAAACACTTCTATTTATCGCACTAATTATCTTTCCCAAGACATGGCTAACTACAAGTATTCTTGCAAATTTTAATTGGTTTTCTTTAAATTTTGTACAAATACTGATAATTTTTTTATTAACCTGGATATCCAATCCGTTATACGAACCGACTAATCTTAGAGTAATCATCCACTTCACGAGTAGTCCATAGTCATCGCATTTGAACCTCCGTGGCCACAAGGGTTTTTTTTCTCTTTGGATTCGAACATGAGACCTCCAAACACTTTTGACTTTTGTAGCCCAAACTCAAACCATCAGACATCACCCTTGTGGTTCAAATACTGATATTACAGGTATCTTAAATTGAGAATCCATATACTTGTAATAACCTTAAAACTGGTGCATTATGCACTATTTTATATGATTTTCCCCATGCAGTATTATGATTTATTGTAATTATTAATATATATTTGTTTTACAATTTGAATATTTTTTTTATTTGTTTATAAAACAAAAATACAACTAAAAAGTTTCACATTATAAACCGAATACAAATATGGGTTCATGGGTCTCATCTGATCTCAACCATATATATATATATATATATATATATATATATATATGAGCGATCAAATAAAAATCACCCTCATTTGTACAAACCGTACAAACCACCCTCATACGTCGATTTCATTGTTTAATCTTATGAAATTTTTTATTGAAATTGTTTAATCATGTGAAATTGTTTCATATTATACTTTTTTTGATGAATTTGTTTCATATATGATTATGAAATTGTTTCATATAACACTTAATGAAATTTTAATGAAACTGTTTCATGTATTTCTCTAAAATTAAAATAATGAAGATGATAATATCCATGATTAACGTTTTCCATAATAAAAATGGTTAATCAACCTCTCATAATTACAAAAAAATGAACAAAATGAAAAATTATGATTGGTTGAATGAGGTTTTCACGGTTTTTACAAATTAAGTGGTTTTTATTTGAACGTTCCCCCATATATATATATATATATATTGTTTTTGAAGAGTTTTAATAAAGTAAAAAAGGGAAATTCTAAGATCCAAAACAAGAGGGTAAGGTGGTCCATCTCCACCATTTTTCGTTGTAGCAATGGCAATTGAAGCTGCGAGGGATATGTAAACCACAAGCTAACTGTACCTTTTCTTGACCATACCCAAGGGCTCCACCGTAATTTTACCAAAACTTTTTTTCGGGTTGACTTCACTGTTGACTCATGTCTAAACCCGTTCGTTAAATTCCAATATTTCTTTAACTCAACACGTTCATTAACACCATTTTTAATTTTTTATGTTTTTTATTTCAAATGCCGTTTCTCTATCAAATTTTTTTAACGATCGTTAGAGAATTGGGCAAAATTTAGATATTTTTGCTAACCACAATGGCCATTTTGTAATTTTAAATTTGTAGGGACAAGAAGTGTTATTTCTAAAAACCATAGGGACCAAATTTGTAGTTTATTCGATTTTTAAAAAGTAAAACTTGACTTTAAAAGTCAAATAAATTATTTTTGGTACCAGATTTAAAGATAAATAAAAAATAAAACACTTATCATTAAACACAAGGAGCAGCTCATGTGTCTCTCTTACATGAAATCACAATCGCTTTTCTCCTAAGAAATATCATGTGCCATTCGCGTGCATCATTATTATTATCATCTAAGGAAAAAAAAAATACTGATTACTGATAATCTCAACTGATGTCACATAGAACCTGACTTCAAATACACTGATATAAGAATGTATTTTTTTACTCACTTAACGATTGAGGCTAAGTATTTTGATGAATGTGTGACAGTGCGATAAATGAAACAATAACAAGAAAAATGTATGTATGTGTGTGTGTGTATATATATATATAAAGAGAGAGAGAGAGAGAGAGAGAAGAGAGAAATCAAATATAGATCATGAAAATGTTACAAACCAATCTCAACCATTCATCTAATTTAAAGAATAGTTGATTTTATAAATATATCGATTGTTTCTTAATATAAAAAGTTGATCATAATTAATAAGCTATAACTATCTTTCATAACTATTTAAATCATAATAAATGAACTTTCATTATGTTTACAAATATTTTAATTGATTGGTTTTTATGATTTGTAATATTATCGTGTGTGTGTGTATATATATATATATATAGAGAGAGAGAGAGAGAGAGATAACGTTTCAAATGCAACATATCATATTTGTACAACCAATGCAACTCAATTAATTGAGATATTTATGGAAATGATGAAAGTTCATTTATTATGATTTGAATATTTATGAAAGATGACTAGAGTTCATTGATTATGATCAATAATTTATATTATAAAACAATCAAAACTTTTATGAATTCACATATTCATCAAATTAAATTGAGAGATTGAGTTGTATTGATTATACAAATGTAAAGTGTTGCATAATAATCCATCTCTTTCTCCTCTCTCTCTCTCTCTCTCTCTATATATATATATATAGAGAGAGAGAGAGAGAGGGGTTCAAGGGAAAAACAATCATATTTTTCTCGTTAATTTGACATCTATATTCATATACCTTTTCATTCGATTTTTCATGGTTTTCTACTTTATTACTTATTCATAGTTTTTCACTGAATCTAACCCTATATCTGTGTATGTGTATGTGGAAAAAATCTAAAGAAACCCCTGCAAAAACATAATCAGATGAGATCAAGTAAACTCGGGTATGAGCGAGTCACAATAGTAATCGGAGTGATGGCCATTTTGGTTTCGTCTTTCTACAGTAATCCACGAGTACGTTGGATATATTTCAAGACTTCGGTCTTCGGAAATCCTCATATAATTACTCGACATCTGCGTGCAACATACACCGACACCTACACTTACAAAAACGAACAAAAAAAAACCCAAAGATTCAATAACTATATCTAAACCGCATTAAGCGCCAATTCATTAACCGTTTAATCCCCTTAATTTATTCGGTCAACTATACATGAATGTTCAATGACTTTTTCAATAAGCTCTAAAGAAAGCTTTATACAAAAAACCAAGTTTTTTTTCAAAATCTAACATGTACCAGTAACTTAATTTATTTGTGTATTAATTGTAAGTATATATTCTTAAAAAAAAAAAAAAAAAAAAAAAAGAGGGGTCCCAATAACTTGAATCACAAACCAACCAACCACAAAAAGTACCATCTTCAAATATAAAAGTTCCAAATTATGCCCAGTCAAACACTCCAAACTCTTTCCTCTCTGCCCATCTTCAATATTAATTTCCTTTTAATATTTCAGTGCCCACGTTCTTTAATTATATATCTCCTAAGCTTATTATTAAATATAACTACAAATTATATGAAAAAGTAATCTACTTTAACTTAATTCTTATTTTTAGTAATGTATTTTTGAAACTTTTATTTTGGTATTTAAGATGTAAAGTTTTTAAACATTTAAGTACTTAGGTAACCGGTTGAAGACTAACTTTAGATGGAAAAAATATTAATGTCAGCAAATAATACTGAGTTGGATACTATGTCATTCGTCATATTAGTATGATAACCGGTTAATGCTTCAACCAGTTACATGGGTGTTTAAATGTTTAAAACTTTACATCTTAGATACCAAAATTGAAGTTCTGAGAATAGATTACCCAAAATAGTAATCAAATTAAAATATATTATTTTTATTACTTTATGTTTTTTGGAAATTTGATTATCTATTTACAACTAATAATACTAATTAGTTTTGTCAAACATTACAAAATAGTTTTTTTTTTTGTTAATCATAATGTCTGGACCGGCTTATGTACAGCTCGAAAAATCTCAGAAGTCTTGGAAAACAGTCACCAAATTTCTAGTGATTTTGCAGGACTCGAACCGGTTACTTATGAGAAGGGTCACCAAATCCCAAACGCTATTGACAGTTGAGCTATCCTCACAAGGTTAACAAAATTAATTCTCTTGTGGCTACGGAGATTCAAATGAGGTGACTTCGGGCTATCTGCAAAGCAGGTCGTCGTTTTGGGATTAGTCGGCTCGAATAGCGGGTTGGATATCCAGGTTAATCGGGGGGAAAAATTGTGGAAGCTTTTAGAATTTTAATTTTACATGGATAATTTAGTAATTCATCAATATTGTAATATCTCATCCATGACGAAACTCTTTGTCGTACGTAGGTGCCCTTCAAGCCCAGCTTCCTTGCGTTGTATCTTGAGTGATCTGTCGTTAGGGTTTTTAAACCAATCTTTTGGATTGCGAAACTATCAGCTTGACATACGTACATATCTAAAAGCATTGTAAACCGAATACATATGAAACAAATATATGTTGATAATTGTATTAAATCTTATGTTGATGTGATACTAGACATGTTTTTTTAATTCAGGTATTGTTCTCGTTTGAACCTCACTCCAGAGTCCAGATATATAACATTCAACTGTTATTATTAATTCGTTCGAACAAGATCTCAACCCGAAAAAGAATATTTTAAAATAATATAAAAAAAATTATTTAATTTCCATAAAATGAGTATTCATCATCCTGCCGTTTGGATGTTTGTCTCTTTCTCTCTAAACATTTAGAGAGAGAAACATTTCCATTTTCATGGATAATAATAAAGACATCCCTCTAACCTCATCTCCAAATCTAATTCATTTCTTTTAACGCCACCATGGACCTCCCATCTCCACCACCACCCACCTCCGCCACCGCCACAACCACCGTCAAAACCCCTGATCTTGAAACGGAAACACCTCAATCCAATACCATAACCAAGCAACTTCCACCACCCTTAACCAATGGTCTCCTCAAACGCCACCACAAACCTCTCCACCACCACCAACCACCGCCGCTACTAGTTGCTTACAAAGAATGTCTCAAGAACCATGCCGCCACCATGGGTGGCCACGCCATCGATGGATGCGGCGAGTTTATGCCGTCGCCGACGTCATCGCCCACTTACCCTACATCACTAAAATGCGCCGCTTGTGGATGTCACCGGAATTTCCACCGCCGAGAACCGGAGGAATCGCCGTATCTTAACCACCCACCTATCCAACACGTCATCGAGTACCAACCCCACCACCGTCACCACCCACCACCTCCACAACCACTTCCACCACCCGCCACCGGAGCTAACAGTAACTCTCCCGGAAATTCACCATCTCCGCCACCGATCTCGTCGTCTTACTACCCATCAGCTCCACACATGCTCCTCGCCCTCTCCGCCGGTTTATCATCTCTACCATCCGAAACCCACCTCCATAACAACCACCACCCATCGATCCCCACCACCCCCGGCTCGGCCGCGGGCGGCGGAGGCTCAAATCCAAACGGAAAAAAGCGATTCCGAACGAAATTCACACAAGATCAAAAGGAAAAAATGCATGAAATCGCGGAAAGAGTCGGGTGGAAGATGCAGAAACGAGATGAAGAGATGATAATCGGATTCTGCAACCAAATTGGAGTCGAAAAAGGGGTTTTCAAAGTCTGGATGCATAACAACAAAACCACTTTTGGAAACAAGAAGGATTTCACTAACAATGGCGACGGTGGTTCTTCCGGCGGAGGCGGCGGCGGAATTGATTTCGTTATTTCAAGAAACAACCACCAGCATGAAGAGGGCGGGAATGTAAACGAGCACCATAACGTCGCCGGAAACAACCGTCATGACCACCTTCATCTTCATAATAATAACAACGATAGTTATAGCACCGGTGGGAATGTGATTTGCACTAAAGGTTCATCATCATCTTCTTAATCTTAATTAATCTCTTAATTTTTGTTGATTATGGATGTTAATTAAGTATGTGTTTAGAGATAATTAACATTCCAGAAAAGATATGGCTTCTGGTGTTGCTTTAATTACCTTACTTATATTAGAACTTAATTAACGTTTAATTATTTAATTAATAATATTAAAACTATGATCATCCTCGTACTTTGATGAGGATCACAATCATTAGCTAATCCAAATTAGAATCTTTTTAATAATATATTACTATTTTAGTTTTAGTTTATTGCATGAAAAAGTAATCTATTTTAACTTGATTCTTATTTTATGTAATGTAATTTTAAAATTTTCATTTTGATATCTAAAATGTAAAGTTTTAAACATTTAAGTAACCGGTTGAAACATTAACTGGTTATCATGCTTATGTGGTATCTAACTTGTGTTATTTGCTGTTCAACCTGATTTCATCCTATCACGCGCTACATCAGCATGGTAAACAGTTAATGCTTCAATTGGTTTACCTGGGTACTTAAATGTTTTAAAATTTTACATCTTCGTGACAAAGTGGAAGTTTCGAAAGTACGATACCCAAAATAGTAATCGAGTTAAAGTACGTTTTTTTTATGCAATTTATCATTTGTTCTAAAATAAGTGTTAAAAGTTAATGTTGACTTTCGAGTCCTATTCTTCGGATAAAGAAAATTTATCTGATTTTCTCTCGATAATTAAGGGTAAAATTGTTGTTTTGGTTATTTTGAAAAATGTAGTGATTATAAATTTCTAAAATTCTGTGCATTTTTTACTGTGGAAATAATAGCTTCTGATAATAACTCTTACAGTTATTACAATATATAGAGTTCTCAAATGACTAAACCCATTTTTTTACAATTATATTTAATATTTTATTAAATAAAAAATCTTGTTTAGAGTAAATTATGTTTTTCATCCCCTTGGTTTATTAAAAATGGTTGTGTTTTTTAAAATTACGGTTTTTGTCAATGAGTTTTATAATTAATTATTGTTTTTCTACTTATAATTTATAATTTATTGTTGTCTTTTATTCCTCATACTTAAAAACAACAGTTAGAGTTTGTTTGGCAGTTGTTGAATGGTTTGATGCAAAGTGATTAAGAGACTCTCATGATATAATGCAAAATGAAATATAATTGTTTGGTAATTATTTACAACGAAATTAGGACACTGAATGGTTATGGAAGGTCCAAGATACAAAATCATTCAAAGGGTTTTAGAATTATTATTAAAATGTAAACAAACAACCTAGTTTTTACAACGAAAATAACAATGAATTACAAACCATATAAAAATTGTAATTTCAAAACCGGATGGATAAAAACCTCAAAGTAATTTTAATTAATATATAAATTAAAAAATTAATTAATATTAATATTAATATTAATATATTGGAATTTGGAGGCAGCTTTATATCTCAATCTCACTTGCCACTTTACTAAAATAAGCACTTTATCTTTTATCTTATCCCCAACTAATTTCTTCATATTTTATTTAATAAAAAAACAATTATTTTTTTATTTAATATATTTTTAAATAACATTTAAACAAAAAATTGTAATTGTTGGCATTTTCAATGATTAGGGTATAAACGAGCCGATCTTTTAACGAGCTACCCAGTTCGAGTACAAACTCGAGCTTAATAGTTTTCGAGTTCAAGTCGATATCGATCATAAAATACAGCTCGGTTGACTTAACGAGTTGAGCTTTGTAATATCAATGTTCGATTTGACTCGTTCGAAAGCTTAATTAGATTATACTAGTGGAGTCGAGCTGAGCTGAATCATTCGAGCTGAGCTGAATCATTCGAGCTGAGCTGAATCATTCGAGCTAAGTTGAATCATTCGAGCATACTCATTGAGCTTGAGTAAATAAAAAAGGTTAATCAATCTCGAATTCGAGCTCATAAACGAGCATCAAGCTCCAGCTCAAACATTGAAAAAACATAATTTAACATTAATTACATTATTAAAATATTTTATAATTTTTAAGTTATATAAGAATAATAATAATAGTAATTCAATCTCACTGATAGAAATAGATAAAAGAAAATCAGTTTTCTCTTATTACATTAAGGGTCGTTTATTAGACGCTTACCAGTAAAATTCACCGTCCTCACTTATCTTATCAGTACCATTCTCAACCAGCAAAATAGATTGTTGGTAAACATTTATTACCCGGTATATATTTACCGAGAAAAAGTCACCACCCTTACTTACCCAGTAAAAGTTTCAATCCGTATCAGTCTTTACTATACTCACCCAGTAAAGTAAGTGACCCGGTAATCGTTTGGTAAACGACCATTTAGTTGATCTAAATTTACAATTTTCTTGATAATAAAGAACAAGTCAAAGACCTTCCAGCCTAGTGGTAAAGGCTTGGGCATGACATAGTCATGAACCCAAGTTCGAGCCCTGGGAGGGGAGTGTTGGCGACATTTAAGTGGGGCCATGTTTAGCCTCCAAATTTGCCGGGGATTAGTCGGGCTTTGGCCTGGACATCCTTACAAAAAAAAAAAAAAAAAGAATTTACTGAAAGTAAATGTATACCAAAATCTTTATTTTCTCTATTTTAATGAATTTATTACAGATATTTTATTCTATTTTATTTACCAAAAATTTGTATTTTTTTAGATACCAGAAAATATTATTTTAATTATTTGGAAATATATTTTAATTTATAATTATTTATTCCAGGTTAACTTTTTGTGTTTAAATAAAAAAAAGTTAAAAATTTACGCTACTTTTGTTTCAAAGTTTGTTTGAAAAGATTATTTAAATAGGTAACGTATTTTAAATTAATTTCTATTTTGTATAACTTACTTTCAAATTTTTTATTTTGATACATAAGATGTAAAATTTTAAACATTTAAGTATCCGGATAAACAGTTGAAGAATAAACCGGTTACCATGTTGATGTGGCGGGTGATGTGGTATACGACTATACGGTTAATGTTTATGCAAATAATACTGAGTTGGATACCACATCACTCGTCACATCAACATGGTAACCGGTTAATGTTTCAACCGGTTATATGTGTACTTAAATATTTAAAATTTTACATCTTAAGTAACAAGATGTAAGTTTTGAAAGTGCGTTAACCAAAATATAAATCAAGTTAAAGTACGATATATTTTATTCATGCAATTTGCCCTGTTTTAAATACATTTACTGTTTCTGTAATTTTTACGTGAACACATATTTTTTAATGAAAAATAATATAAAAAAAAACGTAAAAACATATTTATCACATGTGATAACACCTAATGGTGTGGGGATGATTTGGCCCGTGTCTAAAGCTCGCCAACATATCTGATCCGCATCACTTGTCTCTTACATGTGATTTACTATTGTAAAAAAACCCTTTTCATGTCTACGTAAAAATTAAGACATTCTGTGCATGCGTGCAGGGGGCGGGGGCGGGGGCGGGCGTGTGTGTGTAGGGAAGGGTTCAATATTTTCATATCTATGTAAAATTTAGGGGTCGTTTACTAAACGTTTATCTAGTAAGTACTTACTGGGTAATTTTCTTTACCGTATGAACATGGCAAAAGTCAAAAATCTTACCCGGTAAGAGTAATGATAAAGACGAAAAGTCTTACTCGGTAAGTGAATGTGATGATCTTTACCCAGGTAAGCGCTTACCGGATAAATTGTTGCATACGATATCATTTTAATGTAATACAATCTTATCTGGTAAAATAAATTACATTGTTAACTCGTAACAGTAACAACTTACCGGGTAAGCATTTAGGTAAACGGCCCCTTAGACATTCTCGTACAAGTGATTTATACGAATGTGATAACACTTATGACCACGTCGTTTTATTTTAAGTCATGGTTTTAGAATTGTTGAAGGAGCAGTTAAATATTAAATAAATATTTATCCCTTTTAGGAATATCTGAAGCATGTCGGGGTTAAATAGGAAAAAACTGCAAATCACATAACGAACCTGCAAAAACGACAATTGTGGACATGATGATCACTGTTTTTTTTATTTATTACAGCATTATCACAACAAAATCACATCATAAAAAGTTTTTGATTTATCAATGCGTTATCACAACAAAATCTCGTATTCGATGATACTAATTACATTTAGAAGATAAAAACAAATCTAATATAACAGAATATTGTCGATGTTTTTGAAGGATTCAAATTTCGTGAAAAACTTTCGAATTAAAGGGGTTTGGAAAGATTTGAAATATTTGGAATGCAATTAAATTTCATTTTCTTTATAAATAATTTATAAAAACAAATTATAGCAGAATCTTCCTGATTGCAAACGCCAATATGGGATTCACCAAAGATGTTACAAATACCCCACCCTTTTGGAGGAGTTATCATACCCGATGAGGTTTGCCTCACTATCTCGATGGTAAAAGAATCATCTCTGATACCATTTGTAACACAGTAAAGCCCAAAGCAACATGTTGGTCCAATAACTTCTAATCCAACCTAAAACCATTGTGGAAATTGTTGATAACTCACTACTTGAGGCTTATAAAAAGCTCATAAATCTCATTTTCGATCTATTTGGGACGAGTTGTTATATTTGAGGGATTCAAAATTCAGAATATCTCTCAAATCAAAAACAAATTCTAATGAAATTCAATTCAAAATCCCTTGAAATTAAGGGTGCTCATGAGTCGGATTGAAGACATTTGAACAACCCAACTCAATGTTTGCGGTTTTGAAAAATCTTAATCAAACCAAAATGTAACCCAACCCAAACCGTACGGGTTGGTCAAGGTTAGTATGATTGATACTTTGCTACATTAAAATATTCTCATAACCTTGAATATATGATTTTTCTACTCATAATTTATTTTTCATCATTAACCATTTGATATGACTTATTCATGTTTTTTAAATCCATAATATATGTTCACATTTACATATATATATATATATATATATATATATATGTTCACAATTACTTAACATATATATGAATGAGTTATATAGAGATGGATAATAGATTAAAAAAACATGTATATGAAGAGCATACATGATTGTGTAATTTGTCTAATGTACATATTAATAGAAACTCAACAATCATATTAAATTCAATAAGAAAAAAGTTATCGGGTTGACTCGA